ATAACACAATACAATAATTATACAAATACTGAAAATAGTAAAATATTAGGCGAATGGAATGATTAATTTTATAATCATTATATAATGAATTGTTATTATATCAGGTTAAAATCATTTATTACAATTAAATTTATTTGATTAATTAAAGTTATTTGAAAAATTGATGGCATTAATAATTTTAATCAATTTTAATATATATTATACAAATTATTAATATGAAACTGAAAATTTGACAATTTATTGAGTTATGAAATATTAATATATATATGTACATGATATTTTTAATAATTTGATATTTTTATATTATTCTTGAGATGAAATAGTAATTGTTTTTCCTTTAGGATCATCAAATCTATCCATTGTACGAATATCTATAATCATAGTAAGTGCCCAAATCATAATTAAAGCTAATATAGCAGTAACAAATATTCCTGTCCAAATTGGAATTGAAGTAAAACCAACACAATCATATGCGTCATTAAAAGTTCTTGTATTATTTTTATTTTCTGGAATAAGTTGCACTTGCAAATCTGTAATGCGTAAACTAATAGTATCATTTTTAAATATAATATTTTGTGAACAGTGATAAGAAAAATTAAATGGAAAAACAATATCTGTATTTGTTATTAAATTTTGCTGATTTGAAAGTTTTGAATTTATATAATATGTGTATTGAACTGTTTTTAATGTAAAATAGCCTGCAGTTTTAACTTCAAACATAAAAACAAGTTCATGTTGATCATGTTGTGTCATAGTTCCATTAAAGGTCAGAATTAAATTAGATGAAGATTTTCTTGTACCTGGATCATCTTTATATGATATTAAATTAAGAAGTTCTATTTCATCTTTATTATTTTCAAGCTATTGAAAATAAAAATTATTCATAAAAATATATTAAACGAATTATAAAATAGAATGTTAATGATTGAAATTACCTTTAATGATAATGGTTGACTAGAATATAATAACACTTTATGTGATGAAACAATAAAATGTTTATCATTATCATTTGCAAGAATGTTTCTCTTTACTCGTTCAGAACGTCTATAATTACATGCTTTTCCTGTAAGAATAGCTATCAAATTAGGACTGGAATCTTTTATTGTCTTATATGTTTCAGGAATAATATCTAAGTTATTAATTGGAATAATCAATAATTGTCCATCAGATATTGAATCCATATAATCATTATAAGTTTGATTATAAAAAGGTAAGTTTTCAACAGTATTCATTGCTTTCTCAACAGCCGGAAAATAACTTTTTGAAGTAATAACTTTCTGAAGATGCTAAAAAGTTTAAAAAATTATATTAATATTTAAATCAACAAGTAAATGAATTCAAACCAAATAATTATTTAAATATATTATAATAACCTGTTTATGTTTTACTAAATCTTCAATACACAAATTATCTTTTATATATAAAAGAACGGGAGGTGAATTTTCTAATTTTTTATGCAGAAAAAGATCAAATTCTTCGCTAGTAGTTTTTAAAAAGGGATTCACTGCACTTGTCTGTGCTAAATCAGAATTAACAGATCCACCCCACAACAATACAGGGACTGCATTATCAGCATATGAAGATAAAATTTTAAATGCAACGGTTAATATAAAAATAAAATAACAAATATTACAAAATCGTTTCATGATGTTTTAGTTAAACAGAATTGGGCAAACTAGGTAAGTACTGATTGACTGTGAACGAACAGAAGGTAACACCTGACCCTAGACTAGAATCATATGACAAACGTCACGTGATAACATTGTTTCCGGATTTCAAATACACCTTCATTTTAAATTAAATCAATTTCTTGTATGAAATTGTTTATTAAACTGAGTGAAATGTAAAAAAATTATTTTATAGAAATAAAATTTTCGTAAATATTATAATTCTTTAAATTATCAAATTAAAATACCATGGATAATAACAAAATTGGAACAAAAGGAGAAACTGTTATGTATTCGGTTTGTTATGAATTTAAATAATGAATTCAAATAATGATGATAATAATAATATTCTATTAATATTATCAATTCTTTAATTAGCAACTACAACCATGGAGTACTGTAGGAGTACTACCATGCATGGAACAAATTGCTGGCCCACCAATTCCAATTAGAGTTGGAGAATTCTATAAAACTCCAAAACCACATCCATGGCGTCCTACTTTAGGATATGAAATGATAGAAGCATCTCCTTTGTAAGAATTTTTTAAATAAAAGAGCTCTTTTCCTTTAAGTAAAAAACTCTTTTAATTATTTATATTAAAAATCATTACTTTTTTTTAAATCATTATTTTAGACCTGCACAACCTATAACAAATTTACTCGCTAATACTTGTTATATGCCAAAAGGGATGGCTACAGAACCGTTACGATTTCCAAATTTGGTAACAGGTTTTGACAGAAATCCTGCTCATGCAGCACGAACTGCACTTTTTACAAGATATGGTCCATATGAATGGGTACAAAATCAGCTAAGGCTTTATAATGAATCAGATAGCAATAGAAATTTTTCAGAAAATTTACGACAGGATACTGTTCGAATAATGCGGTAAAACTATTATCTTTGATATATTGTCGATATTAACAATATATTATAAAAAAATTAATATAATTTTAGAGAAACCGACGAAAAAGTACAAAAAGGCCAAATTGAAACCGGTCGTAAATTAGGAGAAAGAATTACAGATACTACATTCTGGAGAAATGAAATGGCTTCAGAATTGGAAAGATTAATAATAGAAAATGCAAAAATGCAAGAATGTCGTCGAAATTTACAAATAACAATACAAAGTTTAGAAGGTCAATTGCATATCGCGCAGGAATGTTTATACTATCGTGAAGCTAGAACAGGTTTGATACATTTATTTCTAAATTGGAAACTTACATGTATATGCTATTTTATACATAATAAAAAATATATATAGGTTCTGATTTGGTACATGATCAAGCTGAACATGCTCTTTTAAAAGAAGTGGAAGTAGTTAGAAATTGCGAAAATAAATTAGAACATTTTACAGATAAATGTAATAACCAGGTAAGTATCGAATTATAATTTCATATTAATTATTATAATCACTTTGTTGGATATTCAGCTTACGAATGGTAGGGCAGTACAAAATCAATTAGAAATTGATATAAAAAATAAAGAAACTGCACTTGGAATTGATATTACATGTCATCAAATGAATAATTTCAGTCGTGGATTAAAATATTACGGTGGTATTGAAAAATATGATCCCAGGTAAGTTCATGTTAAAATATCATTTATTATTATAATTTACATTAATAAATCTTAAGTGTTACAGAAGCTGAATCGTGGATTGAAGCTTCCAATAATCTAGTAAAAAAATCACAAACAGAACGAGAAAAATCCAATCAATTACGAAGCGATATAGAAATCGCAATAAATGCAGTTGGACATGAAATGTGGGAAGCGTGGGGAAATACAAATAATGCATTAGCTAGAAGAGCTGCAGAAATGCTTGAAGCAAAAGAAAAATTACAAATACATTTACATAAAGTTATTAAAATTATCTTTATCCATAAATTTTTGTTTTTAATTAATGTATTAATTATAGATTCAACAAGAGATATTTGAAATTGAAAAGAATTTGCAATTAATACAAAAAGCAATCGCAGATAAAAGTTCTGCTCTTAAAGTGGCACATACTCGTTTAGAAAGTAGAACACATCGACCAGCTGCAGAATTGTGTAAAGATTATGCTCAACTTAGGTATATTTGAGAAATTTATCTAGAATTTAATGATAATATTAATTTTAAATATTACATTTTCATTTATACAGAATGATCGAGGAAGTAGAAACGATAAATTCGACGATACACGATATGAATTTAAAATTGCAAAGATTTGAAGCACAACATCAACAACTTTTACGCACTAGATCTAATTTAGAAACTGATTTAAAATCTAAGGTTGATGCATTATTTATTGATAGAGAAAAATGTATGGGAATGCGAAGAAGTTATCCGATTGCATCAGTTATAAAGTTTTGAAATATATATAAATACATAACACATTTTTAATTTTAATTCTCTTTAATAATATTAAAAAATACATTCACATATTTGTTTTGTTTATTATTTTTTTTTGTAATATTGTATATAAAAAAGAACTGTTTTATACAAAACAATTATTTATTTAATCATCTTACTACTTTGTGAAAATGTAATAAAAATAGTTTTACATTTTTAAGTATATATTATATTATAATATCTCTTTTTCTTTTAATATTAACAAAAGAATTCATTGATGCTAATCCAATAATACGAAAGACTAGCTTTAATATGAAATTAATTAATTTTTAATAATTTTTGATGCATAGTAATATCACATTAATCATTTGATATGGAATTATTACATATAACTAAAATAACTAAAATATTTATAAGACTTAATGCTATGTACAATGCTATGTACTTTAGAACTATTCACAAAATATCTACACGCAGAATAATAAATTTTTAAATTTAAATGTACTAAGAATTACATATTACCTGATACTTGTATATCATTATGTACAAGCTTTTTAAACAACTTGTCTTTTTATATAAAAAATAATACATTATAGAAATTTATTTAAAAAATTTGTTTACTTTTCTTTTTTGATCCATTTGAAAATTGCTATATTATCATAAATTTTCATTACCGCTGAATCTGTATTATATTCATCTTTTAAGTAAAAAATTTTAATATTTTCTTCTGGATGACATTCTAAAACATTCCATTTTTCAAATAATTTCAAAGCATTCTTTATTGGATCCACACATAAGCTTTCACCTATTTTAAAATATAATTCTTAATACATTAATTTATAATTTAATATATTTTATACAAATATAATTATTTGTCATTATTTACCATATTTTATTATGCCACGACTAAAATTCGTTTTTAACTCACGAATAATTTCATGAATTAAATCTCTTTCGGATAATGATCGTCCTACTAATTTCCTAAGAATGAAAGCACTAAAAGTATAAGTATCAATTAAAGGTTGCAATGATACATGAAGAAATTCCATACGATTTGTATGATCTGGTATTAAATTCAACTGTAAAAAATAATTAAAATACATTATTATGTCATTATTAAAAAAATATATATAAACTAAAAAATTACTTACTTTATATTGGATATTTTTAGTCTTATTTTTATTACAATATTCTTCATCCGAACTATCATCAAAAGTTTTTGCATATCTTTTACTCCAAAGTTCTTCTTGTAAATAAGATTCCTATCAAATAATTTATATAAGTAAATTTTAAATAGTGAAATAAGTATATCATATCAAATATATGATACCTCTTGTAAAGTAATAAGATCTGTATGTGAGAGATTCATTATAGTTTCTATAATAATGCGTTCCAATTCTTGACATGGTTTGCAAAAAATAAATTCATATTTAAGAATATTACAAAGTTTAAGTGATTTTTCAATCAAAACATCTTGAGATACTGTAATATTATTTTGACTAATATGTACAGGATCATTTATTTGTGATTGCAATTCAGCATATAAAGCTGTCACTGAAAATATAATAATTAAATTATTAGATTGAATGAAATATAAAACAATGCATTTTCTTACCTACTATACTATCCATAACGAAACATGTTAACACTGTATTGCTATAATAAGATAATTCAATTACATTTGGAAGAATCGATACAGGACGGATTATGGTAATAAAATTTGACTTAATTAGTTGACCATCAACTGCTTCTGTAATTTCTTGATTTTGTAGTTCTACTAAATTAGGACCTAAGATGTTCAACTAAAAAAATAATTTTATATATTTTTTAATAATATATTTTTTTAACATAATAGTTAGAATTTAATTATTTTACTAACCGCATGATCTATGATATTAATAGTTTCTCCATAAAACATAATATTTTTATTACGTTTTTCTAACTCTTGAATAATTAAATCAAATGCTTCAATTAATTCATCTAAGGTACAACCATTTCGAAATTTATTTAAAAGTAAAAATGCAACAATATTAGTTGACATTATTGGCATTGAACTAGTGCAATCTAATATATAAAAAAAATATTATACATTAATATAAAACAAACAAATAAATTAATATTCTTAAAATTTATATTAATATAATTAATATATTTTTACCGTATACAATATGTTTCGCAATACTGTCAACTAATTGACGATATTCTTCTGCAACTACATCTGTACCATATAATGATGAGCTAGATACTGTAGATTTTAAACATTTTTCGATAGGAAGTGTTTTTCTTTCAGTTAGTTGTGGTTGGTTTTGAAGAGATGTTAACATTTCCTTTTCACAAATAATAATAAAGATATATAATTAAGAAAATGTAAAACATGCAATATATAAAATATTTAAATATCATACTCTAAGTGAAAATGGTTGACAGAAATCAACTTGATTAATCCCATAATTTCCTATTAAAGTTGACCACATAGCTTTAATTGTAGATATAAATGTTTCTACATTTTTTGGTTGACCTAATTGTTCCCTGATAAAATTTCCATCAACAATACGTTCATAATTAATTGAAACAGGTACTATGAGTGCATCTTCAATAGTTCCATGCATATATGCATCAAGAACGACACTCAAAATGCCGCCTTTTGGCATACATGGTTTACCAGTTCTAGTTCGTCCACCTTCTATAAAAAATTCTAAATTATGACCCGCTTTTAAACTTTCTATTATGTACGTGTGAAGAATAGCACGATAAAGAATATCTTTACGGCCTAAAATAGAATCAATTCGACGTTTTATATAAAATGCGCCTAAACCTCGTAAGAGCCACCTATTTGAGATAAAAAATATAATTAAAAAAATTATAATTAATAAGATAATATCTAAATATTATATAAAATTTGATAATCTATATTTATATATTTATAGCATACCCAAATAACTGAATTTGTAAATTTTCACCAGCTGCAATCAATGGATTTTTAATGTTATTTGTTACAAGAATGAAGCTCAATATGACATAATCCAGGTGACTACGATGTAAAGGAAGTAATATTAAAGGGAGACCAGTCTCACTTGCTTTTTTTAACATTTCTATTTGAGATGGTAATACTACAGTAGATTGTATAAAATATGGAAACACTTTATAAACAATCCATGTAGTTATTTTAAGTAAAAAATTGCTTGTTTTGTTTTGCATTTGAAGTAATATAGCTTTAGCTTTAGCTTTTCCTTTTGCCAAAGCAACTTTTTCACTACAACCCTCATTATTAACTGTTTCCCAAGCAGTTAATTTAATTGCTTCCTTTAATTTTTCATCTCTTAAGACCTATAAAAAAATTATATATAAAATCCTTAATTAATTTTTATTTTTATAGATATTTTTAAATTTTCAACTTACTGTTTCAGTCACTCTTGGATAATTAAATGTTTTAAGATTGTATACATGTGAAAAACAATCAAATACTTTGGAGAATAGTGATAAGCCTGGATTAACTACTAATATATTTAAACCAAAAGGAGTATGTTGTTTGCTAATATTATTTACCAATGAATTCTAGAAGAAATAAAATTAAATAAAAAACAAATAATAACAAAAATAACAAAAAAAACTTATATATATAAAAAAGGTAGATAAGAAATTAGTAAAAATCTATATAAATTAATATATAATATTTAATATTTATTTTTTCATTGAATTATTGCTAATTTGATCTTTTGAAATATCAAGAAAGATACTAAATATTATATTTATTACATGATTTTTTTTAAATAATAAATGTAATATGTAATAATCTTGAAAATCATCTTGAGATCATGTTTTTATATTTATATTTTTAATTAATTATTTGTAAATATAATTATATATTTGTAGTTTATTATTATTAATAAAAATAAAAAATAATAATTTTACACATTTTTCTTCAATCAATTATTAATAAATAGTCAATGTAATAAAATAATTTAATTATGTTATTTATTTAATTATGTTTTATGTTATTTATATTATTATTTAATTATATTTAATCATTATAAAAAAAATAGACTTTTATTATCGGAAGTATATGACCTTTATCAATCGCTATAATTATTCAATAATAATACATCGTGCTTTCTTCTATATTCCTCCTATTCTATATTCATTATAAGGAAGGATACGCAATATTTTATATTTGGCATAAAAATTAAAAATTAAATATATTTAATTAAATTACGCGTTTAAATTTTTACATACGTAAAACATTATTAACATATATAGATATTGATATTTTACTTATCAAACATATTATCTATAATACATATAGTGTCCAATAAACTAGATATATAATTATATATACGAGGAAAAATATATTCATTAGGCAAAAAAAGATTTATAATTGCATGTTCATCCATTCGTCTTGTATAAAAGCTTTACATAATTTTATTTATTGTATCTATATATAACCGAAAAAAAACTTATTTTAAATGATTTTAAACTACATGGTTTTAATGTATCGATAATATTTTACATAAAAAAGAAACACATATCAAATGACAATGTTCGCAATTTGCACGTAGCTTAGTTACCAGGTCACAAGCTAAATATATTTTAATGTTGCAAGAGCGTAAGCATACGTCAATACGATGCTATTTATCTAAGATATAGATTTTTAATGTCAATCACTATTTTTTAAATAATATTTTTTCTCTGATATATATTTTAAAAATTATTTTCATTATTAAGATCATTTTATAACTCTACCAGAGATTTTATATAATACAAAATAGCATATAATAGATTTAAACGATATATCGAATATCTTTCTTAGAAAAGAATATGATCTTATTCTTCTCATATAAAACTTACTCTAGATGATGGAGTACAATTGTTACAGCAATAGTTTAGAAACGGAGATTTTTCTTTAACAACAGGAACTAATGGTTCCGTCTCTTTGATTTTAAATAAAGAATTCTCTCGAACTTTTTTTGCTTGTTCTCTATCTTGTATTTTTTTTTTATAAAATTGTTGACCTGTTCGTCGAAGTTCTAAAAAATAAATTTCAAATAAATATTTGATTAAAATACTTTTTTTACTTATTTCTACTTCCTGAATGAAATAAAAATGAAAATCTTACCCCTTATTGAAAATCGAGTTGTATTCGATTCTGTATTTCGGATTACTTCTGTTCTACTTTCCCATTTTGCATATACTTCTTGCAAACGTGTTGAGAGTATATCGACCATACTGGAAGCTCTAGTATTGTAATTGTAATTTAAAAATAATTTTTAGAAATTATAAAAATTTTTTCCTTATAATATAAAATATAAAATTTTAAAAAAGAAATTGATCAAATATCGATTGATCGATATTAATATTTTTTTTTCAAATGAAAAAATTATTTTATGCAACATTATATTATATATATTACTGAATGAAATCAAAATAGAAATATTCTTATTTTTGTAATTAATAAGTCTGATATCTCATGTATTTCAACAAAGATGAGTTAAATGTAATTCGAATATAATTCAAATACAATTTCA